ATGCAATAAAAAGTACACGGAAATAGAAAAAAATAATTAAATAAATAGATGATTAAATAAATAAATAAGTAAATAAGTAAATAGATAAATGTGTTAAAAAAGTATGTTTATTTTTTGTGGCAGAAATAAATGAAGAGAAACAATTTTATTGCTGCAATGTGCAGAAGGCCTTTCTTTGCTCGTTTATTCATTACACAATTTTTCATCTGGCGAAGTTCTCTACCGGAAATCCAACTTGTTTTTACTTCCTAATACAATTAACTGTTTCCGTTTATTTTTCTTCCAAATTGATCATTTTTCGTTACGTTGACTTCTTAATTTTTTTGTTTTTTTTAAATTACTGTAATGATTCTTTACTGCTTATCTTTTCATGTTCTTTTATTTTTTCATCTTTCTTTGTATTAAATTATTTGATTTGATTTCAAATCTATTTGAATAATTGATTTAATTTGTACAGTTTTGACGTAAGCATGTGTTTTTTTTTACGTATGCGTGTATGTCCAAAGTGTAATTTCAAAAATCACTTCAGAGTTTTAGTACAAGAAAGAATGAAAGTAATTACTTAATGCATACTACAAAATTTCACTTCAATTGTCAGAATCATTTATTTACTTTCCATACTTTTTTTCTGCAGATTACTTGTTAAAATGAATTTGCAAAAGTGTAGCAAGTATAAGTAAGTGGTAATTTTAGGCTATTTTATTGTATTCAAAAAGTACTTGAAAATTAATTATGCCCACTTAAGTAAAAGTAATTCAAAATTCATTACTCGTACTCTATTCTCATACATATGCGCAACTTTCAAGATGTGCGTAAAATGACTGTATGAAAGAAAGCAAACAGAACACAGCATGAATTTCTGCTTTATCAATCAACGCATTACAATTGACAGTACTTACAGAAGGCAATTTAACTTACGTGTTATGATTATGAAATACAAGTAATCTTTAATTAATTTTCTCTGCCACTGAAAACATATTTTTTGAATCAAACACTTCAACCAAATTATTTTGAAATAATAATTTTTAAGCACAAAAATTAATTAATTTATAATCTAAATTCAAATTGATCAAATATAAAATAAAAAAAGAGATCAGTTCATTATATTTTTGCAAAATACTCATTTTGAGTTTTAAAATTTTGCACATTTTCCTACTCGTACTGTTTGAATAAAGAATGCGTCAACAAATAGTTCAGAATTGTAAGATTACTGTTTGAAATTTTTTATTTCTATAATTGAAAAATTCAATATTCAAAGATTTCTTTTTTCATGCAAATCAATTTTTAATTTTATTAATTATTACCGCTATCACATATTTAAAATATTAAAAATTGCAATAATTAATTTGTTATAAGATTTTTGACTATTTACTAAATTACTTAAATCTACTAAAATTGTATATATCAAATAACTTGTTATCTTATTTGAATTAATTTCAGAAAAATATACACAATTGTCATAAGTTATAATGAATGTATCATAAGTAATTTTAGCTTAAGGCAGTCTCTTTTACGTAAAAATATTTTATAATACCAGCACATTAATAATCTTTGTTCTAAAATAGAAATATAACCTGAAAAACTAGTTCATTTCGTAAATAAGTGACCCTTATACTTATTAAATGATGCAAAATATTAGTTAAAATAATTCTTTAAATTTCAAATCAAAGATCAATGCAAAGCATTTTACATGTCTGCAAAATGGAAAAAACGAGAAATTAACTGAACAATTCATTTGATTCGGCTTCTTAATTTGCTACGTGTATTACGAGAAAATAAAGCGTAATGAATTTGAAGTGTGTAATTTGAATTACCAATATTTATGCTTAAAGACATGCAGTTAGTTAGCTAACGTGGTAGGAAGTAAAAATGTTTGATAGAAAATTTGAGAAAACTAGTTTTTGAAACAAATAATTGCATGAATGATTTGCTTAAAGCTTAATTAACTTTGCTATTACAAATAATTTCTGTAAGTCAAAATAGAATGTTAGAAATCTGAATTTTTTAAAATCAAAATGCTGTCTAATGCAACTAAAAATGATTTGGACTGCAAAATTCATAAATTATTCAATTAAAAACTTAAATTTAAATCATAAGCAAGTCATATTACACCTAAAACTATATTGCTGCATTTATTTGTATCAATTTCGTGAATAATGATAATGATTATTATGAATATTATATTTATCATGCTAGCTTTATCAATATAATGCGACTACTCTGATAATTTCTAATTCTTCTTTATATTTATGGTAGATTCGTTGGTATCATTTTTGTTGCTTGTAGTAATTTGAAGGAATCTGTTCAAGTTAGACAGTATGGTGTTAATTAAGTTAATTAAATTAAGTAATAATTAAATATACCATCCATCTGTATACTATACTAATATTTGTTAATAAACTGAATTGAACAAAAAAGATAACAAGTTTTTAAAGCTAATTTTTTTAAAAATAAAAATAAAAAACCTGACAAAAATGGCTTTCATGACACTGATAAATCACAATGACTTAATAATGAAAGATGGCGCAAAAAAAATTGAAAATGAATAGATGGCAAGTTTTCTCAATACTTTTATTCAACAAACAGTGAAAAAATGATAAAATGGGCTGAAAATGAAGAAAAAGTTTGAGCTGAAAGCTATTTAACATTTTTAACAAAACATTAATTAATAAATTATAATGCAATGAAAATATAAATTAAATAATTTTATTAATAGATATATTAGTAAGCAAGTAATTAAGTAACAAATAGCAGTGCATAATTACAGAATATTAATCATGCGAAAATAAATTACATAATTAGAAACAGAAAATATAAATTAAATAAATAGATATATAAGCAAGCAAGTAATATATGTAGGTGATATAAGGAAGTAATTAATATATGTAAGTAATATAAGTAAGTAAGTAATTAAGTAATAAATAGCAGCAGATATTTATAGAATATTAATTATGCGAAAATAAATTAAATAATTAGAAAAAAGAAGAGATAGTATTGAAATTGGTAGATGAAAAGAAGTCAAACAGTGTTAAAAAAATACGTAAATAAAAGAGTAGCAAAGAAAAAGAAAGTATTACTCTCTTATCTCTTTTGCATACGTTTGAAATGGCAATAAAGTAAATGTGATAGCAAGTAAATTTAAGTCAATCATTCGATCATTTCCGGTAAAATTAAATTTAAAAATGTGTGACGTGCAGAGTTGCAGTGAAGAACGTGAGTAGTACCTTTATGGGTTGGTGTCAGAGTGGGATAAACCGGTCTTTTTTTCCCTCTTACACCTTGAATTACTTATTAATTAACAGACTGACTAACTAACGTTATTACTTACTTAACACTTGGTTCAGCCCTTCATCTTACTTTGTTCATTTATGCATGGCAATTGTTGCTCTCAAGTACTGGGTAAGTACTATAGTGAACTGCTTACGTATTATTCTTTTATCTTTTTTGTGTGTGAGTGTGGGTACGTGTCTGAATATGGGTGTATGTGTGCGCACATGTGGGTTGGGTGTATGTGGGTGTATGTGCATCCGTGCATCTATACGTATATGTATATATGTGTGCATGAGTAATCTACTGGGCGGTGATGCCATACGTAAAGGCGCAACAGTTCAAAAGCTTTAAATAGACTGCGAAAATGGCGCAGATGTCGTTTTAGTTACACTGTACAAAATGCTTCCTTCTACTCCTTTCATTCTTCATTTCTTCCTTACTTATTCTTAATATTATATTAATAGTAAAGCTTACTTTATACTAGTATAGTTTGATTATTTCATATTTAAACTTAAATTTGATATAAAAAAGTTGCCCAAAAAAAGGATTCTAAATTGTTGACAGACTTTTATTATTTCAAGTTCTAAAATTAAAGTTTAAAAAAATGTTTACTTGTCGAGGATCTAAATTAAAACTATATTTCAAATTTCATTCATAAAGGGATAAACTAGTCGGATAGTTAAGACGCAAGTCACTACTAATTTAATTATTACTAATTCATTACTAATTTAATTATTTAATTGCAATACTAATTCAGTTATAATTAACGTTTAATTCTCAATCACAGGTATTCCCGAAATAATTCACGATTTCTTCAGAGAACGACTAGCAAATTAGCTGCCTTTAGTCATGATCAGATATACTTTTGCTGCATTTTTTATCTGTTTTACAGGTAAATTATTAAATACGTAGCTTTTTGATGAATTTGTATTAAAATTTTCTTTATTAATTAGCAAATAAAATTTGCATTAAAATGAACAGTACAGCAATACAGCAAATATAATTAGCCTTTTGAATAATTACAAAAATGAAGAAAATCCAAGAATTAAAAATAATTGCATTTAATATTATTTAACATATTTAGCAATTTAAATATTAAATTGTTTCAAACTAGCCATATAACTTAAGCATAGGAACCAAATAACTGTTATAAATACAATTTTTATTTTTATTCACTAAATCATTTATTAATCAAAAAGGATAATCTTATTCTTATAATAGCAAGATTATTAAATTATCAAGCGAATCATACTAATGAGAAAAGTAAGTTTGACAAGTCAATTTTTGCGTAAAACTTATACTTTTTCACTTATGAGTCAAATTTATGAATTTATCCAAGTTTGATTAAAAATATTGAAGTAATCAGTAATGATTGCTTACTAAAATTTGAATTAAACACAGAATTTTACTCATTATTTTCAATTCTACATACAAAATAAACAGATAGATTTGAATTATGATTTTGAAAGACTAATTTAATTAGCATTTTATTAATCAATAAACTATTTTTAGCATATAAAATTGTATAAACACAATAGTGATGGCAAATATTATTACTTGAAGAGGCGAAAAATTAAAGTATATTCACAACATGTGTAAAGTCTTACTTTGTGATAAATAAATGAGCATTTTCGTAGCAAAAAAAATTTTTAGACATCAAAGATCTAGCTGTCATTTTTTGTTTTCTAATTTTGAAAATAAAATTAAGACAAATTTTTTGGTAATAGTAAATGTTTATTTTAGTTGCAATGTGTAGAAGTGTATGCGATCCAGGATGGAGATTCTCCCCCCATTCCAAAAAGTGTTATAAATTTTTTAACAGAGCAATTAGTTGGGCTCAAGCGGAATTTAACTGTTTATATCTTGGAGGTCATCATTTATCGATTCATAGCTTGAATGAAAATAGATTTACCAGAGGTATTTTTAGCTGCTATTATTCAAAATGTGTAGAAAATACAAAAATTTTTACGATAACAATTATATTAATCGTAATAATAGTTATATTACTGTGCAATTTTCAGCTAGAAACTATTATATTTTTACAACAAAAAAAACTTTTTAAAGTTTCAATTTTTTATAAATTGCTATTGTAATATTTTAATAGTCATGTAATATCATTTAAAAAGTTTATATTTATTGTTTCGAAACTTAAATGTCAAGAAAAGATTTGTAAATTAATTAAATACATATATACAAACTGATTAAATATACATTATACAACATTTTATAATCTAAATAACTAAAATCTATCTGTCATTATTTAAGTTTTTAAATTTCATCTTTATATTTATAAATACAATTAAAGTGATTTTAAAAGTAAAATTTGGTTTTTTGACTTATCTTTCCCTCCAAAATCATAAAATTACATGTAATATCAATATTTGACTTTGGTACTTTTTTAATTTTTTAGAGATAGCTCACGACGCGTCCGAACTTTGGCTTGGGAGTGCTCAATTCCATCATTCTGATAAATACGAATGGTCTGATCACACACGTTTTGACTTTGAAAATTGGAAAAACGGTTAATTATTGAAAATTTTGTTACTTCAAACATATGGCATAAAGTTAGTCAAAAGCTTAAAAATTAATTCATTTATATTTATAATAAAAAGTTATTTTCAATAGATATTTTAAATAACTAATTAAGTAAGTATTAGTGAAGTGAGTAAAAAACGTGAAATCCAACGAGTAATTGAAATTATTACTTTGACAAAATCGAAATGACAAATGTAAAAATTTGCTCCATACATTATTACAATTTAATTTAGTAAATTTGTTTACAAAATACTATAAAATTAGTAATTTTTATTTCCACAAAATAAAAAAATGTGCTTTAGAAGACTTAAAATAATGCTTAGACTTTTTACTATTATTAAAATATGAAAGCAATTAATTATAGATGTGAGACCAAACAATAATTGGAACCAACCTTGTACCAAAATGAATATTACAACAGGTGAATGGTTTCCAAGTTGTTGCCGAAAATTAGCCCCATATATATGCCAAAAAAATCCTCGAACGACAACGCTATATATTGATAGTGAAGAAGTAAGAATGAAAATTTAGCTCAATTTATCATTTTAGAAAATGACGAAAATTGATAAAAATTACATCATGTATTCTTATTTATGTTTATCCCAAATCAATAATGATAGAGATATGTTTATTCCAAATCAATAATGATAGGAATATATTTATCTGAGATCAATATTGATAGAAATATATTTATCTAACATCAGTATTGATAGGAATATGCTTATCTAACATCAATATTGCTAGGAATATGTTTATCTGAGATCAATATTGATGGGAATATGTTTATCTGAGATCAATATTGATGGGAATATGTTTATCTACGATCAATATTGATAAGAATTTGTATTTTTGCGATTGATATAATGTATGATATAAATATTTGTGTCTTTATAGAATACTGACGATTTGGCTTCAGCAATCGAAAAAAATTCAATTCTTAAACGACGGTG